TAAGCAGCCAGCCATGCAATTTAAGTTTTCTCATGTAATGCCACCTAAAACCACCCTCATAACTGCGTTCAGAGAATCGCTTGGCAGATTTGGAAAGCGGATTTGAACTCAGCGCCCAAAAACACGTCTAGCAGTATAGGTCTTATTACAAATGGCCACTTCGAGTTGGGATCCTTCACTGGTAAGTACTGGGATGAAGTGATCTGTCGATGTCAATTCTGAAGAAATGAGAGCTAAAGCTACGGTCAGGTTCCTTTCAGATTTTATAAGTCAAATGCTGCCTCCCCGCAGGGGAACCCTCGGAACATGCACTTGAGTTACGAGCAGCGAAGTTTTTTCATACTACTTGACTTATTGCATAGTTATTGTATAAACAGTTCTCTGCTTAAGGGCTCGTTCAGACAAACAGTGCTTTTTCCCTCAGTTTCCAAAGGCAAGCTCTTGACCGTCTCAAGCCTATAAAGATTTAGCCCTATAATTAAAGATGAAAATTCTTAAAAATTCCATCTTTATTTATAGGCTTGAATTGAACTTTCTAAAAAGTTTTTTACCTATTCAGTTTGTCTCATGGCATTTGTACTGTGAATTGGTGGGGGTGGTAGGGTTGGTTCGTTTGGACTTCATCGCTTCCTAACTTCCATTCAATCATAACCTTCACGTAGTCACCACTTTTATTGATTTTTTCGACCAAATACAATAAAAATGATAAGTATCGATCATACTCGGAGAATCGTCTCCTATTGTAGTCGCTCACGAAGTCGTTCTAACAAGATGTCAAAAGATGTGTCATCCTCGACGTATTCTTCGATTTTCATGTTCTGAAGTGAAATAAAGAATTCAATCGATTTGTTTCCAATCAGATAAACAATAAACAAACCGCAAAAAGCAGAAATCGAATCGAACTCGAAGAACTTAACTCGAAACGAATTAGTACAAGAACCTGGAAGTCAGTCAACCATTTGCAAAGTGACTCCCTCTTAGTAGGGTATTCTTCGGAGGGTTGACCTAGGTAGATAAAAGCGCCAGACAGCCGCCTCTGATCCACCATAAAACCCATCATATAGTTCCTACGCTTAGAAGAAAACAGGTCTACCTCACTCTAAAAAGCCAAAACTATCAAATCTCAGGGTAAATCACCGATTTAAACCCTGTGGATGACCTTACGCCGATGGTAGATCGTTTGGCACCTGGTGAACCTCAGAAAAAAATGATGTAGGTTACTAGATAAATCGCTCAACTTGCAAGTCAGCAAATTTTGGCTAAAAATAGAGAAAGGCCTTGATTAAGCACCTGTTCAATATTATTGTCTAGGCCATCGTCAGGAGAGCCTTTTTGCTGAGCTAATTCGTTGAAATGTGTTTTCTCCTGTAATACTGTCCAGCAATATAGCAGTCGGAGAGAGGCCGGGAACGTCTTCATGTCAGGATGACATGCTGCTCAACAACAGATTACCTCTTTTTCAAGACGAAGCTCACGCCAGAAATTTTTGTCAAACTGCTGATCTTCATGAAAGCCTTTGATGAGTAGTTCTAACTGAAATAGACAATTTTTTCTACTTTGCTGAAAAATATAGAGGCTTCAAGGTCGTGCATGATCCTCTGCTTGATTTAAAGGCACACTTCACGATAAAAATGGTTTCTGAAATTTCCTCACAGGATGGATTTGAGGCCACGCGTGTACCACATCTGGCAATATTAGGTCGGAAAACGGCCTAGTCAGGGAGTTATAAAGGCTCAAAGATTGGCCCGTGGGTATCCTCGGACGAGTTTCGCCGACATTGTAGAGGCAGCACCAATCACAAGGGAACCCATGTAGGAAGTTCAAACAACTTGTCATGGCCCATAGCGACAGTGAAAGACAGTTCTGTACAGTTGTGGCTTGTTGTAGTTAGCTCTTCGTACAATTGCAATAACTGGAATCTCGTCCGCATACCCCTTACTCGTTATTTCCGTCATGGCAATCTCGTCCAACCTCTATTTCCCTTCTTTAGAGGAGCCTTATTTTTTCGAAATCGGCGAATTTTCTCGCTTTCTTTGCACTTTTGAATATTGCCAATCTATACTTCCGCTACCTCAAGAACTATCGTGAACTGTGACTTTAATCATTAAGCTAAGCCCTTATGGATAGCCAGAAATGGGCATTCAGATAGATAGGTGTGGTAAGTGTGCGTATACAGGTCAAACGGTCATCCGTACCGTGGGAAGTTGATTCGGCTATTCGACTCGCACCCAACTTCCCACGGTTGCAGGCACGCTCGCGACAGTTTTTCGTGACAACTACCGTAGTCATCGGTCGAAATCCAAATTTTATCACTAAAATGCGCGCTCCTTCATGCGGAAAGCCAAGAATGTTGCACCCCGTTCGGGAGCAGCATCCCACACTCTCCGTATCCCATTCTTCATTACAAGACTACCCTATTTTTGGGACTTGGTGGTTAGATTGTTTTTTATTGATTGGATCGAAGATAAAGGGGGCAAAAAGGTGCCAGTGCGCCCTTCTCGAAGAAATCTATTCAACAAGGTAGTCTTCTCAGGGAACTCGATCAATGGGCTAACCTCCACTCGTTTTGTAATTTTTTGGCGAATGCGATACTCCATATTCCGAACATGTTGCTCCAATATGCGAATTTGATCCTTAAAAGTACTGAAGGCTATCAAAGGAATATCAATTTCATATTATTCGTTTGTTCGATGTGTGTATACAAGTATTATGCAATGAAATTGAATATGTTGTCTGTGAGATTTTGCGTCTATTGTATTCCACCTCGATTTCTTTGTAAAATACGGTCAGCATTGGATTTCGTTCCCCTCCCAGTAACACTCCTCTTTCCTTGCATTCCCACTCAAAGAGAGCTTCTGTGTACGCCGTATTTATCGTGAATTCGTTATCCAGGGAGGAGGGGCGTGAAGATGAGTTCAGAGTGCGAGGATGCATTTTGAGCCTTTGACAATTTCCTGCATGGTACCTGAAGCAGGTGCCCCGTCATTCTTCCCCTCTGGGCATTCTATTCAGGGATAGAGACGAGATAGAGAAAACTCCTACCCTTTGGCAATGTGCTTGGAACCGTGGAACCTCACCTCAAGTAGTTGAATCTGTCTGATATCTTCATCATAGTCGTCAATGTAGTCGGCATCAATCTTTCTACGATACATTTTACAATTACTCGAGTAAATGAGGTATTAACGTGACCACCACGGTATAGATTTGTTTCGAAAATGAGACTCCCATCTTGTTTATTGGAAACATTTGGCACAATCTGATAAATATACATCTTATTTGTAGTCGAGCAGAGCATTTCTAGTCGATAATTTTGGAGGCACTGCTTTGGTTATATTGAGAGGTTCATGAATGACACTTTTAAGCATAGGGTTCAAGGAAAGAGACAACGACACAAAACGAATACAAAAAGCAGAACTCAGAAAAAATGGATCCACGAATTTGATAACTCCTACTTCCCAACCTTTCCATTCTCTTGAATCAACTGAAACAGAGCACATGGCTAGCAAACGAGGAAGTTTAAGCGATTCGAAACGTGAGGCATTGTCCGTGGCCATTTCTATATACAGACCTCGCTCCAAGACAGACAAGATATCGCTCCCGAAGTTTTGCTATCGTTGTGTTAATATTCACACATTAGATAAAAAAAAAACGAGAAAAGCATAAGAGGCATGAAATTTCTATAAGGGTTTCACGAGATAATTTTTTTTTCTTCATTAACCATTACTCAATGTTCATATTTTATTCAACTGATACCTTGGTATTTTCGCGCTTTTCAAAGCCCGGAATATCCTAAAAGGAACATGCATAGATGTATCAGGAACTCCCT